CTTAACTTAATGCAGAATAAAATTTTTAAAATTTCTGCTCAATTATTTTCCTAGTTTTCTACTCCCTATGAGCAAGCAAGCAACCTGTCAATTTGTATTCACATAGGTTGACCCCTACTTGGCAGGAGTGGGTCAAAATAAAATTTATATCTTATAAAAGAACTTTTTCAGTATTAAATTACAACAAGAGTAGTATGTCTTGTTGCTTTTGTCATCTTGAATTTATGGGGAATTCATTGAAAACGAATGGATTTATTTTAAAAACACGCAAAAGGAATGGAGCGTATAAAAAAGTTATCGGGTCCTCGGTAAAAATAAAAGCGACGGCAAATTGATTATTCGACTTTTATATATATCGTGGTGAAACATTACGCCGAAATTGGCGGGCGCTTTTAAAATTATGTCAAGCAAAAAAGCGCGCTTGTAAATTCCAATCACCGACTGCAAAAAAAAAATAAGAAGAAGAGGGACCAACCAACATCTGCTCACTCTCGCAGAGTAATTTATTTGCATATGCCGCAGCCGCGAGTGGTTTCCTTTCCTGCGCGGATTGTCGCGACTGATGTGAAAAATGTGTATAAATCAACCTCTTTTTCGCATATCAACTTTTATATTTATATATAAAAGTTATGCTGCAACAAAACATTAGTAAAAATGATCGTCCGACGCTCATATAGCGCAGCCATTATTTAGCATAAATTTGGATTCCGCGAACCTTGGCTTTTTGCTCACATCAAAATTCCTGCTGATCCTCAGAAGGTGTGTCTCCGTCTTTAATTTCAGAGGTTATTTATTGGGCAAGTGTTGAGAAAAAACATGATGTATTTCACTTGCAGAAGAAGGACTATATGGCTGAAAAATACCTCTAGATATCAAGGTAAATTGAATAAAATTATGGAGGACTCTAGGAAGTTTTGTGTTAAATTTGTAAACTTACGGGGAAACGTACTTCTAATTGTTTTGTTTTTTCTGAATTTACAGATAGACTCCATATAGTAAGCAAAAATTCTTAAAATTCTTTCCATAGACAAATTTTTTATAATATTATGGAAATTTTTAATTGAATCTTGAAGAGCAAAAAATAATTGTTTGCTGATTAATTATTAGAAAAAAAGCTTGCAAGCAGGATGCTTTTAAATCAATTTGATATACGTGCCAGGACCAAAGAAAAGAAAACAACAACAGCACCCACAATTAAATTAGTCCAAAGAGAAAAAAATCGTGCTCTCCTAAAAATGACTAACACCCATCGTAAACCTTCCGAAGAGACCGTTTCGAAAGCACGAGGTGTGTAATCTGCTCGAATGCACCGAAACAGCCGTCGGCGGGGGCCTGGAAGGGGTGTGGTGGGGTGCAGGTCACGGGCACTTATTCTCCGGCTAATGGCACCATTCAACATGCTTTGCACAGGTGTTCCGCGAATTTGCATAATCAAACACGGCGCGGAATGAGCCGGAAAAATTAGGCGCTGGGTGGGAGGCGCAGCGAGAAAAAGAAGAGTCGAAAAAAGAGAATATTACGATGCCCACCGAGAGACCCCGCCGCTTGACCCGCAGGCGTGGGACCTCACTTGCCCCTGCAATAAAGCACAGGCGGATCTTTCTTTCTCTCCGGTGGACCAAATTTATCAAGTGACACAAGACTGGAAGACGACTGGCGTCATTTTTCTTCGCTGCTGCTGCTGCTGGAAAAAAGTCAACGCAGCTTTTGCGGCCGAGGTTAATCGTGTTGGTGTGGAAACGCGTGCACCTAGTGACCTTAGGCCAAACACATTACTGTTCAATAAACAACTTTTATAAGCTTACTCACACAGCTTTTCTCGATTTTGCCTCCTGTACTTTTAATTTTTTGAATTGTATTGAATTCATTTTTTCAACGTATGTTTAAGTTTTAATGGAATTGTTGAAATAATTGAGTTGTACATTAGGGGAAGCATTAAAAAATTTACTTTATTGCAAATACACTTTGATTTTTTCAATTAATCCACTAATTTAGTCTATTTCGATATGTTCGACGTGTTCAGTCCATAATCCGATTAAAATTTTTTAAGTGCTTGTTTGTAAAAAAAAATTATTTATATAATAATATGATAATGTGAATTTACTTACAATTAGAAGAAAAATTTTACCGTTATCAACTAAAAAAATATCAAACCTTAAAAATAGCAAGTATTTCTTTCTAACTGTTGTTATTATTATTTATTAAATCGTTTTTTTTTTAATTATTGAACACTAAACTTGTTTCTTCATATTCAGTCAAAATTATGAAATTGCATTTTAGTTATTAAAATTTGCAAATCAACTCAATAAACCGGCAATAACAATCAAAATAAAAGTCTATTACAACCATCATAATCGAGAAGCTGCGGCAGCGATTTTCATTCGTTCTTTCTTTTTTTTTTTATCTTTCTTGGCTCGGCACACATAAAGATGCTCCCTTTGTATCCGGGATCAAGCTAAGGAGCTGCCTGAGAGAAAAGCAAGCGCGACTCCACCCCTCCCAAACCCAACGAAACTCGCTTGCCTTCCACTGCGAATGTTGTCATCTCTCCGCAGCTAAATTAATATGCGGTGCTAATAGAGAATCGCACGCCGCGTCGACTGTTAATTAATGGATAATGTGCACGCTTCACTTGACGGCCATCCTTGGGAAATTACAAAATCCAAGCCGAGATCGAGCCGAGGTGGAAGGAAAAAAAATCACACTCACGCCAGAGGATGCACATAAACATCAACGGAAATCCCTAAACGTCCTCAATTCGGTGTCATTGTCCTCAGAGTGGCCAACGACGATAAAAATTGATACTTTATTGCAACTCTGCAGTTTCCAAAGTTTTATCCTCATTCAGAGGACATGCAAAATACAAAAATTTATGCTTAGAACTCTTCATAACTTTAATTCTCAAGATTAAATAGTAATTTAATGTTATTCTCACAATACAGTTTTAGAAAAATTTCATATTTAAGTTGATCTAAGGGTTATTAATTGTGATAATTTAATGGAATTTTCCAAATCCCATGATTACACGAATATATTTATATTCAAATTCTGATGCAAAAATTGCCAAACACAACGTAACTCGCTCTTCTTACACAGTGGATTTTCAGGCACCATTAGTGCTGTAAAAAACTGCTGAGAAGATTTAAATTGAATATTGCAACTTTATTAATTTTTTTAATGATAGACAATTATTTTTCTTGATTTTGCAAAAGTCTCTATAACTATAAAAGGAAAATTAATTATTAATTAATTATTCACGCCACGTCAAATGTCAATAAAAAAATCGGCAAAAAATAGTTTGTAAAAATTCTTCAATATTGCTCATAAACAAAGAGGAAAATTGCACAAAGCACAAGTTGCCAAAGGCAATGTTTGCCGAATCACCAAACACTACAATTTTTGGCCAGGATCAAAGTTCAATTAATCGCAACGCGCCAACTTTCGAGCGTAGTTGATACGGAATTAGTCCCTGCACTGCAGACTCGTCTTTCCAAAGTTCATGTTTGCGTATATGTTAATGGTGTTGGTGTAATCACAGTAATCGATCGTCGATGGATGAATTTTCAATTAGCGTGTTGGGCTGATTGTTTAGGTAGGAAATTTCGGCCGCACATCCTGGTCGCGAAAGTGAAGCTGAGAGCGAGCAGGAAAATGATTATTCGGCACGCCGCGCGCATAATGTTTAATTATCATGCCAAATGCACGTTTCTCCACTTAACACGTCATGCGCAGATTTATAGAGTTGCTAAAAAAGGTTTACGAGATTCGTCACGTCACAAAGGCCGTGGTAGCCGAGCCAGAGAGACCGACCAGACCTCTAAATGCAGCAATTTAATTTAAGGGACATGTGCGATAAAAAACGCCGGATTGTGAAACTTAAACGAGCCGTAAATCTAATGAGCGATTTTGCACTCTTGGCGCGCAACAAACGAACCATTTTTTGCGGCCGAGCGAATAAATTTCATCGCGCGGATAATCGCCCTAGCGCGGAGATTTACAAAGGCGATCTCGGGCCAAAATTTGTCGACCGGCCAGAGCAACTTTAGCGAGTCGTAAACCTCGCAAAAACAAAGTTAGTGTGTTCTCTAATCCTGTTAGCAGCTTTTTTGATGATGCTCCCAAGGAATTTATTGCCCTGCTTGCTACGCGGATCTTCCTGTCCGGCGACAACCGCTTCATGCTCGCTCACAAGTGTAAATTCATAAATTGCATGGACCCATTAAATAGTCTTATTTGTGGAGCTACCTTTTATTTATTATTTTAACCGGCTTTAATTTGTTGTCTGGTGAAATTAAGAAGAACGTGCAAAAAATAAATTGTACATTAGATGATTTAAAAATTTTGATTTGATTGAAACATGATTTTCAAATAGCCTTCATTTAGCGATCAGTGCGAAATTGATAAAATTATTATATTTTGATCATTTTGTACTTAATATATAATACTATGTTTTTGCGTGTTCGGCATAATTATTTCCTAAGGGATAAGTCAGGATTGAAACATTTTAAAATAATTCTTGAATTTCCCCAGCAATTTACAAAAGTTATTTCTTTTAAGAGCTTATTTGACGATTAATTTAATTTTTTTATTAATTAATTTACCGTTTTATTTGAAAAAAATAATCTTCTAATTCTGTCTAATACAACTTTGATAAAAGAAATTGCAGCAAATTTAGCATGTATGTTCCTTCTTATTACGTAAAATGCTGATAAAAAAAGCAACTAAAAAAACGACGGACTGTTTAAAACTCCATTTTAAAATCCATCCACGCATAAATAAACTTTTAAAAGGTGTTTATTTTTAATTAATTTAGGAAAGAAATTATGAATTTTTCATTATCTTTTTAAATGAAAATTTTCAATCTGTTGTGATTGTAAATTATAAACCGTTGGGACATAAGTTGATAAAGGAAACCGTTTTGCATAAGCATCAGAGGGAAGGGGACTCGAAGCGAGGCAAAAAAAAAACGTGTTGAGCAAAGAGAGTATTGCGCGACTGACCTGATGCGGCCGCCTCCAAGTACCACGAGATGAGCTCCATGGGTGAGATCTGGGTGTCTCCTGCAAACAAACGCACACACAGAGCTTAATTAGCATCGCATAAAACGCAGGCATATATATATTCACACACACACATAGGCAAAGAGAAGAGGAAAAGAGAGGCTGCGTGGGTGAATCGCATGAGCAATTGATGAGATGCGCTCAGGGTGGGAGGAATTTCCGAGATCGTGCTTTGGGCGTGGGACCCAACCCATCTCCGTGAGAATTAACAAGGTCGCTGGGGTCTTCTTTGTAATACGCTCTCGTCGGTCCGTCACTGCACTCTCGGCTCAAAAGAAAGAATAAAAACGTGGCCGGGATCATCAACTAGTCGATTATTGCGCTGCGTCGATTTATGGGCTTTTTCATGGGCAATCTGTTCTTTGAATCGCGGGCCTCGGCTCCCGCTGGACGGAATTATTTTGTGCGAAATGCCTCTTGCGCGGAATTTACGACATTTTATTGCTTTTTAAGAGAATGGCTGCTGAGCAAGTTCCTGGATTCCTATCCCCTTTTTTGTCGTGGACCGCACTCTATCCTGGTCAAATAATATTAAATGATAAATACATAAAAAGAACCAGCCGTCCATACTTTTGGTTGCGAAGAAAATCAACAAGAATTAAGAATACAATACATTTATTATTAAAAAAAAAAAAAAATATGCAATAAATTCAAAACAATTGTGTAGCTAAACAATATTATGCTGTGCTTTAGCAAGTTGTTTGCTAGCGAAAAGCCATTTCTCCATTCACCCTTCACCCCCTAATTAACAGTATGCGTCTCTTTCAAATGTTTTATCAGCTTTTTCTTTACTTATTTCAAATAGTTTTTTTGCTGTGCATTCACGACTCATGATTTTATCTAATGCATAATAAATAAATAACTAGAAACTAAAAGTCACTTTTCAATGAGATTTTCATCTTAATTAGTATAAATTGACGAGGACAGAACTTTATTTATAACAAAAATTAGTTCACTTTGAAAATGCAAGTAAAAACCTTAATACATTTAATGACAATACAGAGATACAAAAAAATCAAATAATATAAGAAACAAAACATGATATTTATTATATTTATTTGTTAAATAAATATAATTAAATAATTAGAGAAAAATTAAAAGTTTTATTTATATATAATGTGTTGTACTGTTTAATTAATTTAGAGAAATTTAAAAAATTTAAAGTGAAGGGCTAGACAAGATAATAATTTAAAATCATACAAACGCTTCTCAAAGAGAGGCGTGCCCGAATTTGCCTCATATTGCCTTCTCAAATAATTAGTTTTCACACAAGTTCTCATTCACTCATAAACTTTGTTCCCTCGTAAAATAGTGTCGATTTAATGTTCTGGGAACATAAATAAATTGACGAAGATTTATTTGACAAGCGACTAGTGTTTGAAATTCGCCCGCGAACCCTTTGCCCATCATTTCTAATTATCACTGTATGCAAGTCGCGATTTCAATACACGGCTTGCGTTTCAATTCGTCGTCTGGTCTCGGCGGCAGCAGTTTGATTCATTTGCATACGGAATGACTGTAAATCTGCGACTGATATTTATTGCACACCGCCGGCCGCACTTCTTGTATTATTCATCTCGATTTTATGATGGCCACAGGGCAGTATTCAATTTGTATCCACGCGGACGAGTGTGGCATTTACATTTTATGGCGGCAAACGTTAAAATTTAATTGAAAAAGTTATCGTTTTAATTGAATGTGTGTCTGCCAAATTTATGGCTCCAAATGAAAGTACTCTCGCCGGCGATAATTGTTTCTCCGCCCCGGTGTACATTTCAATATTCAATTTTCTCAGGAATAACTTAAAGTTAGCCACGCCTGATTTTATGCCGAATTTGGACAAGAGCTACTTGCTAGTTGAAATATGACGGTTTATGCTCAGGTACATATACTGAATAAAATATTTTTTTGTTTTAATTAATACGCGCAACCAAGGCCACCTGTGAAGTCTGACATTTTAAAGTGTAGCAAGGACGTTCGAGGCCAATTAAACCTGTAATTAAACAATTAGTGTCATGTTTCAGATAGGAGAGAGAACTTTTCCGCATATAGTAAAAGAGATGAATTAAAATTTGAATAATGGTAGATTTTCGATACACCAGACTTATAAATTTCCCTTTTTTTTTTTGCTAGCTTTTTTTATTGGTCACTACTAACTGACGCAATTTCAGTCAATCAAAATCAGAAGAAAATATTAGTCAATTAAACATGAAATAAAATAATTTAATTAATTGAAACAAGATAGCGTGTGAGTTATTGTTTGTTTAATATTCTGTTGAAACAAAACACTCTACTTGCGGTGAATAAATATGCTTTAATTTTCTTGAATAATTGCTAGATTGTTCCAAGGGGAAGTTAGAACTTGCAATCTAACACAAAATATTAACTTATGTATATAAATAATTTTTAAACTCCTTTTATATAAAAAAAATATTAATTTATTTAAAAATAATACGTAAATTTATTTTCTAGAAGAAGATTTTTTTATTTATATTTTTGTTTGCTTGGTTTGCTTGATTAAAATCTATGGAGTTGGAATCAAGAATCGGCACGAATTTCCAATCGAGTACGCTGTTTGACATAGCAGATGCAAATTTTCAGATGCAAATTTTTTTTCTCGTTGGCACCAAAGTGACGCCTCGCGCCGGTATGCCTTTTTTGCTTTTAATTGACCCTATTCATGTCAAATAAACGCTCCACGTGGTGGATAGTCAAAGAAGAAGAAGAAGTGCCTCACTTATTACTTACGTACTGATGGGCAGTCGCACACAAAGCGGGTCTTGAAAGGCCAAGCAGATCTTTGAGACAAGAATAATAATAACGGCTGGAGAGCAACGAGACGCAAGAATGTGCTCATTTTCCATTTTTTTAAAGCCATACTTGAAATGAATAATGAGAGAGAAAGGATTCCCGGAATCTCATTTTCTTGCATTTGTTCCAGTTGCAATTAAGATGAGCTTGATGCTTTTACACCATTTTATATTTTATTACAATCTTTTTTTATCACAAATTGAATATCCTTATAGCTTATAATAGATATTTTCTGAAAGAGCAAGAAAAATTTTAGAAATTTTTTTGGCCTAAATCTGATAAAATTATTAACTTTTAATTGACTTGCTATAAAAAAAATTATTGATTTACGTTCGTTTTAAGCTCATTATGATTTTGCAATATTTCACGAGCAATTAGTCACGAGGACGATAAAATTTCTCATTATTTTTCCAATAGAAAAGTACAAGAGAACAACAATGAGATCGTTTCGCAAATATATAAAATACGCCGTGTGCAGGCATTCAAATCCCCGCGTGCTCCGAGAGAGAAAGAGTTGCAGGAGCGCTTTTATAAATGAGTATAGCCATTTAGGAATATGAAATTGATGGAAGATCTTGTGTGCTTGGCTTCAAAAACGAGACCACCCAGCCACAAGGCAATAAATGGAGAGAATAAACCATTATGAAGATATAACAACAGAAGCCGAACGGAGGAGCAGAGCGCTGCTGCCTCACTTCTAGCGTATATATTTATGGCTTTAATACATACATTGGCGCACACAATAACAAATATTATATATGCAGTACGTGTATTATGAATTTCACGAGAAATCCAATCCTAGCGCATTAACATAAGGTCACTTTGTTGCAGCTGATTGCTCATTTCCAATCGATAATAATAATGTTTCTCTTGAGCAAATAAATTACTTCTTTACTTCAGATTGCAAAATAAAATGAATGCTTGCAATTGTAATTGAAAAGTTATTGAGGTAAAAAATACAAGAATATTGCAAATTAAATAATCCAGTTTTTTTTTTTTAAATTTCAATCTACAAAAAAGTGACGGATAATTTAAAAATTGTTTCTTTTATGTGGGCATTTTGTGGGTAGAGAGTGGCTTGCTTTGTTGTAAAAAATTAATATAATTTTTGGTCACTTTTTACACGGAGATGATTTACGATCATTTTGCGGCGTGCAAAGTGGGTTATTAAGTGTGCGCAAATCCGCTTCCACGATACAAAATTGATTTCGTGATTAAAAATTCAATAATAATTGGTGCGCGGATCGTAATTATTTAACCATCAATCAGAAAGTAAACACAGGCCCTGACTAGCCATAAGGGCATGCGAGGCACGAATCCAGCGAACTGCCGCATTATCAGTGCCTTCTAAACCTCAAGAGCGCTGCCGGTTTCCGGAACCGTTGCAAACTTGCAATAATTACTTGCAATATTACAGAGTTCAAATTAAATGAATCTATTTGCATAAAATAAAATTGAATATGATTTTGGTTTTTATTGCAACTGATGCATTTAAAATACACTGTAATTTGAAATTAAAAACCTACTTAATTATCTCTGATTTAATTATTATTGTTGTTTATTCTACTCAAGTCATACATGAAAAAAAATTGATTTGGAAAAAATTTATTTATTTTATTTTTCTTTTAAACTTGCGGCATTTATAAATAAAAATTTTGTGTGGACGAATCAATCCTTTTAAGTAAATATATTTTTGTTTTTAAATAGGTGAAGTGATTCTTTTTTCAATTTAATTCTACGTGATTATCTGAAGTGCCAATTTCCACACGAAGACCAATTTAAGCAGCAATTTACATCAATGATATGGCTGATTAGTCGAAACTAGACTGATCGGGATAATCCAGCGAGCGAGCCGGTTTTGTTCCCCGATTTGATGCCCCCTAATTATCCAATTATTTTCTAATGTGTGTGTTTGGACGGTGCAGCGCGGCGAGCAAAAGCTTTGATTAAAACCTGCACTACTCTCTATACTGATGCGGTTTAGTAAGAAGTTATGAAGTGCGGCGGCTGTTATTAATATCGCGCCTCCCGCAAAAACTGAAATTACACTAGTGGGGCTCTTCCTTGTAATTATTTCAGCACTCGTGTAATTGGAAAACGGCGCAATCCATCATTAATTACGGCCAATAAGCGGCTATTGACAAGGAAAAGTGACTTTTATATTGATCCGGCTGCAATGATTTATTGGA